GCTCCTTAGTCCATACACACACCGGGATTTCTTTTCAATCTGTCCGCCGCGGTGTATCTTCCTATGTTCTTGCGGAAGATTCCTTCTCATTTTGCATAGTGCCAGGTTGCTCAGTTGATGCACACATGAAACTGTTGAATTCCAGACGTGACTTCGAAAACCAGTGGCGTCGACAATAAAATAGTTCTCATTTACAAAGCATCTGACGGCGTGCTGATGCCTTGGCCGATGTGAACAGGAGGAGGAGGTCCGAACACAATGTGCGAGGGGGAAGAGCATGACGAGAGTTCGAGTCCTCCGGCGACCACAATAAAATAGTTCTAATTTATAAATCATCCGACGGCGTGCTGATGCCTTGGCCGATGTGAGGGGGAGGAAGAGGTCTGAACACAATCTGCAAGGGGGAAGAGCATGTCGTGCAAGGACGGGGAGGAGGTCGCGCAAGGGGGAGGAGGAGGTCGCACAAGGAGGAGGAGGAGGTCCGAGGAGGGGGAGGAGTGGGTCGTGCAAACTGGAGGAGGAAGTCGTGAGAGGGGAAATAGCGGGTTGCGCAATGGGGACGAGAGGTTGCAGGAGGCCGTGCGGAGGGGGAAAAGGTCGCACCAGTGGGAGGAAGAGTGCCAGCGGGAGGAGGGGGCCGCCAGGGAGGACGAGGAGGTTGCGAGGTCGCACAAGGGGGAAGACGTGTGCAAAAAAGAAAAAAAGAAAAAGAGAGAGAGAGAGAGAGAGAGAGAGAGAGAGAGAGAGAGAGAGAGAGAGAGAGAGAGAGAGAGAGAGAGAGAGAGAGCCCCCTTCTTTTTGTGGGGGGGGGGGGTAAATTTTCCAAATACCCCTATAAGTTCAGATATATGTCAAAATGTCCCTAAAAGATATGCGCACAGCGGAATGGCCTTTTGGGCTGACATGTTTGTGTTATGCCCCTGTCAGGTGGGTGTGCAAATTTGCTTGGCCTTTTGCAATTGCACCTATGAAAAGTTGGCAATTGCCGAGGCTTTTTGCAAACTTGGGCAGCTTCTGGTACGGGTACATTGCAAAGATGGGTTCCAAGTGATGGCTGGGGTGTTTCGCAAAATGTTTTTGTCATCGACCTTCCCCACAACGTAGCTGCGGCGGGTCCACTTGTTATTAATATTACTATTATTTATATCAACACAATCACCATAAAAGAGTCCATTCAATACCACAATATATTTCTACCCAACCTTCTTAACTTTGAATAAAATCCTCATATCCACGGACTCATCTCTCTCTATTAGGTTATCCAGACCCCAAGTGGAAGTGGGGTAGGAAACCTCCGTAGGTACTTTTGGCCTTACGATTCCTCAAAAATTCCCGTAGCTTTGCTTTTGTCAATTTTCTCGATCCACTTGTCAATCTGGACCAGATCTCATCAGGGGAGGTGGAGCACGGTTAAATTCTCATTTTTATACATCACCCTCGATCTACTTTCACACTCCCCATTGCATGGCTTTTTCCTCTTTCACCAAATCTGGAACAGATTTTACGATCCCCAAGAGGGGAGGTGAAGCTCAGTTAAAAACTCTCAGCTGTTTCTTTGCACTACTCTCGTTCTACTCTCACGCTCCCCAAGTAGGGAAGTGAAACTCTGTCGAAAGTTTTGTGGCTACATTTACCACTCTCGAAGCAATCTCACGTTCCCCAGGTGGGGAGGTGAAGTTCTGTCAAAATTTTCAGCTTTTATCTACTACTCTTAACTTGATCTCAAGTTACAGAAAAGGAGACACAAAGCCCAGTCTTTTTTTCCTACTGTGTTCGCCACATTGGATCTGATCTCATGCTCCCGAAGTGGGGAGGCAAAGCTCTGCCAAAATTTTGTGTTGCATTCATCACTTTAGAGCTGATACCACGCTCCCCAAGAGGGGAGGCGAAGCTCCATCAGTCTCTCAGCTTCATTCGCTACTCCATATCTGTTCCCACGCTTCCCAGGTGGGGGAGGTGAAGCCCTGTCCTTTTTCTGCTGCATTTGCCACTCTGTATCCGATCTCACGCTCCCCAGGTGGGGAGGCGGAGCTCTATCCTTTTGTTCAGCTACACTCGACATTCCGAAGTCGATCTGATGCTCCCCAGGTGGGGAGGCGAAACCCCGTCAAAATCTCTCACTGCAGCTATCATTCGAGAGCTGGTCTCACGTTTCCCAGGAGGGCAGGCAAAGCTCTAACATGCTTCATTTTTTTCTCCACTAGAAATCTGATGTCATGCTCCCCAGGTGGGGAGGCGAAGCCCCGTCTCCTTTTTTGCTGCATCCATCATGCCGGTACTGAGCTCACGATTCCCAAGGTGGGGAGGCGAAGCCCTGACATTTTCACTGTTTCACCCGATATTGAGTACGCTATCTTACGATCCCCAAGTGGTGAGGCGAAACCCTGCCAAATTTTCTCAAACATATGCTACACTGTATCTGGTCTTACGCTCCACAAGTGAGGTGGCGATACCACTCTATTCATTATGATTCCACTCCCTCTTCCAGCCACCGAGACCCAACGCTCCCATCACCATGTCGGCAGCTCACCCCACATCATCGGCATCAGCCTCAACCACAGGCGCCATCCCAGGCTCTGCCTCAAGCACTGTCTCTGCCCCCGGCTCAGTGTCAGGCGCAACTTCAGAATCCAAAAGGGCATGCAGCACAAATGACCAGGACCCAAACCAAAAGGTACTTAACCTCATAATAAAAGAAACACACGTCAAACAAGTGATAACCAAAGAAGTAGTAAAAATCAGCAAGGACGAAAAAGCGGAAGTCGAAGTCTGTGTATACCCAAAGGAACACCTGCCCGTGCTAGATGAATTCTACGAAAAGCGCGCAGTCGTCTGTTCCTTCCCAACAAAACTGAAACAATTGCCGCCCACAGAGAAAAGGAAAAGAGTCATCGATGCTCTCCAGAACATGAAGAATTTGAGGGACTCGGTTCCCAAGATTGCCTTCCAACAGAGAGGGAAAAACGTTGTCACGGTATTATCTGTTAAACCAGAGTACGCAGCCTACCTTCTCTTAGTACAAGCCCTCTACTGTGAAGGATCAGTGGTCTCCATCTCCAAACGGAGACCCAACAGGGCAGCAACACAAGGCACCTCGAGGCACAGGTAGACATTGATGTACAAGCACTTCTGGATCCAATTTGACAACTCGACTGACGAAGTACACCAACTGGTAGAGGACAAGTTGAAAGAAACTTACCCCCAGTACCCTCTGGTCGAACGGGTCTCTTCAACTCCAGGTTTCTTTGCCCCCAACACCAACTCCAGAATAGTATGCATTGAACTCAATGGAAACAACCCCTTGAACTGCTTGACAAATGGTTTTCAGAGCAGATCAGAAGGTCACAACAATTCACATCTCCACGAAGGTGAACCCCATGTGCTTCAGACGCAAGATCAAGGGGCACATGGGGAACGACCCTCTATGTCCCCCGAACACGTGAAAAGGGGAAGGCAGAAGGCTGCACCCCTCAATGTTGGTTGAAGCAGATGCGATGAAAGGCATCTGGATTGTCAACGACCTAACCTACGTGGGCTGGCTTTTCGATGACCTCAAAGACAAACCAGCGTGAATATGGACACTAGCAGACCCAGAACGAGCATGCAAACCAGATGTCTTCCCTCCACATAGAAGCAGGTGGCAAAAAGGAGAAGGCAAAAGGAATGACTGATCCACACAGATACGAAAATGTCGCTCTGGGCGATCTACATAACGTAGGACAAGAGGCAAAAAATCCTACCTAGAAATCCTACAAACCAGAAGTGAGTTGGAACCAAAGAACACAGACGGGTCCAGCGAAAAGAAAGAACATGAACGAAGAAGACGACCCCGAGGAAACAGAAAAATCTCTAAACACCAAGAAAAGCAGAGATAGCAACACTTCAATTAAGATCAGGAGAGCGAAATGCACCTAGACATAGCACCACCTGCGGAACCAACAATTACAATCCATATCACTATGCCCGAAGAGGACTCAGGCAGCACCCCAAAATGTCTGGATGAATACATTGATTCGCTGAAGGCACGCATAGAATCGGACTTGGAAATCAGGCTGGCACATGCCAGACACATCAGCATCCTGAAGAAAGTGTAAAACGCAACTGTCACAGGTGGATTCCCAACTACCCCCAATCGCTACGATGCACTGCCAACAAAGAACACCTTCTCTGCATTCTTGGCCCTGCAATACACTGATCAACACAATGATTCGATGGACATTGATCCCACTGGAGGAACCTCACACAGTTCCACAATCAAGTGAGCAACCAAATAAGTGGCCCAACTCATACGTGTGCGACGACACGATCAACTTGGCCCTAAGTGAGGATGAGCCTCCAAAGTTCAGCAACAAGGAGCAAGAAACAAATGAAATGAAAATGATCTCCCTCGCAAACAATCTGCTCAAGCAAAAAGAACCTCAAGAAGGAAAAAAAAGAAGACAAATCGCCATTTTTGAGAGACAAACAAGTTATCTGCAGGACCAGAACTTGGAACTAGGAGCATAGTCACATTCTCTCAACAAAATCGATGACCCCCCCCCCCCCGGATCTGATAGTGGCAGCTACACTTGATGCACACACCCTCTCCCCCACGATCCCATTCTTGCCCGTCCACTACAACTCAGACAAAAAGGAATGACAAATTGCAATCCGCCCCTCTCTCAGCATCATCATAGCAAATGACTCACACAAATGTCCCAACTTCACGAGGGCAAACATCTCAGATGATCGCCCTCTGACCAAGAAAGAAGGACAACCTGGACGTGTTCTGGGAGGAGGATAGCAGGGAAAGGCACTACAGTGACCTGAGACCGGTTGTGGTCGTACATGACCAGCATGCTCAACTGAGGGAGGGTCTGACCTGGAAATCTTGGGAGATGATCTGCGAGATTCCCTACTCATTGTTGGGCCACAAGGACGAAGTCGACAGAATCGCCTTCAGCACAACGACCCTCTTAAGAGGAGAATGGTTGGGCAACGATGAGGAAGAAACTCTGGAGAGGCCGAAGAAGGACAAGGAGATGAAGGAAGTGAAGAAGAAAGAGGAGGAGATAGGGAAGAAGACCTCCCAACCCTTTACCTGAGTCAAGCATCAGTCCCACATCAAGTCTAACCGTTCCAAACATTAATGGAAGAACATTCAGACGACCAACCTGATAGTGGGACAAACAATAGCGCAAAAAGAGTCAGACCCACCACCGAAGCATATATCCTCAAGAAAATAAGAAAACGGCCCGAAACAACCTGCGTGTCATGGAACATCAACAGTTTGGCCTCCATTTAGACAACCGAATCAAATGGAGGAATCTCACTGAAACCATAGGTTGGCTTGGATCGAACCCCCTAGACATAACATGCCTCCAAGAAACACACATATCCAATAGTAGCAAACACAACAAACTACAATTAGCCCTCATCAGGAAACTAACCTGCGTCAAAACGGCCTTCTGGGCCAAAGCAACAGATAACGGATCAGCAAGAATTGTCATCCTCCGCCATAAAAAATGGTCAGCCAGCGAAGCAATAAAAATATAGAATGTCAACCAAGACAATACCTCAGGTCGGTGGATCAAATTAGATATTAAATTCAAAGAAGAAGAGATGTCCATCATAGGCATTTACGACCCGAACACACCACAAGACAAAACCCCCTTCCTACTCACGATTGAACGACTCATACCCACACTCACGCCCACCATCATCATGGGAGATTGGAACTCAGTTCAGAACCCCAATCTAGACAAATATCTCACTCTCAAGATCCCACAACTCAATCTAACAGCACAAACCTAAACAACTTTATGACCAGGAAAAACCTATTAGACCCATACCGCCTCCTACATCCAGAAAACAAGAGATACTCCTGCATCAGAAAAACCTCACCGGTCGAACATCCTTCTCCAGAATCGACTTCTTCCTCGCATCAGACTCACTATCAGGAGCCATACAAGACTATACTATTCATAACAACCCAGATCATAAGGGACTAGACCACAAAGCCGTATCCCCTGCTATCAGACTCACCAAGGAGCGTTACATAAGTAAGAGCTTCTACCGCTTTAACAATGCCCTCCTCACTAGTTGAGCCTTCCAATCCGAGCTGCAAACACTACTAGCCTCACAAGCACAACTACAACCTGAGGAGGACATACACATTAAATTCCCCGACATAATCAAGAACATTAGCACAAAAACAACACAAACATCCCGAAGACTAGCCTCACAGAGAAAAGAAAGAGAGGACACTAAGAAATGCAATAGAAATAGCAGAATTGAACCTGCAGACACATCCGAACTCATAATTTTACGTAGAATTACTGACTAAATTAACAAAGAATTAGTTGAATAAACTAAACTAAAGCTTAAAGGCCTCCAATTACGGGTCAAGGTAAAAGACTGGGAACTGAACGGAAAAATGTCCAAATTCTTCTTCCAAAAGATCAAAGCCAACTCCAGAAACTTCAAAATAGAATGCCTACAAGACGAGAACGGTAACCCAACCATCGAAACTACAACGCTCGATAGCATAACAACGACCTTATACAAAAAGTTTTACATCTCCAAAACCCCTATAGGCGGTAACAACACAACAAACAGAGCAAGAGAAAAAAATCTTAACCCACCTAGACCAATCCCTCTCAATAGAAACGGCCAAAACCGTAAAAAAACCATAACATTAGAAGAACTACACAAAGCCCTTAACGACCTCAAACCCAATAAAGCCCTAGGTAGAGACAACCTCTCTAAGGAATTTTAGATGGCAGGTTGGCATACCTTAGGCCCAATCCTCCTTAGGTTCCTCACTAGAGCGTGGGAGGAGGAATCACTAGGCCCAAACCTGAGTACAGCGGTGGTGCACTCCTATACAAAAAGGGAAACAGAGAGGACATGAAAAACTATAGACCCATCTCACTTCTAAATGTAGCTTACAAGATCCTAGCTAAACTCATAGCCACCAGAAGAAACAGGATCACAGGAGGATGCTTTCACATTAGATCAGACAGGGTTGATTCCAGGAAGACTCATTTTGGACGACGTAATGTCTCTTTGCAAATCCACACAGATAAGTAACAAAAACGGATCGCAGTAGCCATCCTCTTCTTCGACTTCGAAAAAGCTTATGACCAAGTTAACTGGGATTTTCTTCAGGCAGGTATGAAAAAAATGGGAGTAGGCCTGGTCTTCCGAAAACGGGTGAGAATACTCTACAACGATGCACAAGGGATAGTTCAAGTCAACGGCTTCCTTTCGAACCCTACCCAATGACAAGGTCGGTTAGACAAGGGGACCCACTAGCAGCACCGATCTTCGTTTTCGTCATGGAGGCCATCGCTGCCTTCCTGAGAAAGGACATATCCATTGAGAGGATAGAGAACATCATGGACGAATGTGGTCAACCCCTCCACATCCCTACTACTCTCCTATTCGTCGACAATCTTACTGTACTTATCAAAGCTTCAAACTCCTCCTTCCAGGCCCTGACAAGAGCAATGCAAGCATTCTAACTGACCTCATAAATTAAAGTTAACTGGGCGAAAACACCCCCTCCCATAGAGGTAATCTCGACACGATTACAATGGACAAATCCAAATTCCCCAAGGTGTTTCCTCGGCATCAACCTCAATCTCAAAGGATGTCACCAAATATCGGGAGCGACACTCTTGTCTTCAATGGTAAATAGAATGCACACCTGGAAAGCCACACATACTTCCCTACTAGGCAAGGTACTAGCACTCGACAATTTGATCTTAGCAATGATGTGGTATTCTACCTCCATCTGGTTCCCAACGCCTGACTTTCAAAGCTAGTCGAGGAAAAAAGAAGCAGCATTCCTATGGACAGGTAATTCCGATAAGCAACACTTTATCCACAAGGTGGCCTAGCAGATAGTCACCAGCCCAAAAAGCAAAGGGGGCTTAGGTCTAATAGATCCAACCTGTCAAATTCAGGCTCTACAAATCAAATGGGTCATAAGATTAGCCCTCCAGGACAATCTTCACTGGACCCGACTAACCCTATATCACATAAGAGAACTTGCACCATTTGCTTCTCCAACCAAGGCTTCTTCTGGATTTTCAACAAATTCTTGCCACTTCCAAAAGGGAAACAGAGACAATCCGACCAAACACTCCAGCGAAGCACCAACGACACCCCCCAGACTAAACCCCTTTGGAGCAAATTCTACGCACCTGGAGAATCATCTTCCCAGAGAGCAGAACAGGTCCAAAGAAAAAAAACGAAGTTTTTCGACAACCCCTCTTTGGCAACCCCACTGATCAAGAACAATAAAGGGGAAAGCCTCCCACTCTCAAAGTCAGAACCCGAATGGGGGCACTGGCTAGAAAAGGGAATATGGCAAATCAAGCACATCTAAGATGATCCAAACAAAACCTTTAAAATAGAAAGAGACCCACGAGATAAACTAAAAGGAGTACATCACCTAACTTAAACCACATCATACACTGCATTCCTTTACACTAGTGAGTCCTACTAAAATCAGACCAAAAATTGCATTACGGTGACTGGGATACCACCACGGACTTCCCACCAATTCAGGAAGTCCTTTCAAGAACTACGAACCCCACAACAATAGTTGGATATGCTGCGACATGTACACCTTAGAGGAGCCAGGAAACCCGGTAAGTTACATCAATATAAAAAGCACAGCAAAAGGAGCATTCAAAAACAACAACCTGAGAAGAATCAAAATCATAGAAGGAGAGAGAAAAAGAGTCTACAACCCCAAATTAGCATTTGTAACCTGGAGATTGATCCAACATAATGGACATGGAACTCCTCGTCCGGTCCACCCTCGTCTCAAACCTAAGTATGTTAACTGATTACACACCTAAACTAGGTTATTGATTCTTCACCAAACCCATATCAATATCCAACACAGTACACAATAGATGGACAAAGGAGGAACCACAACTACCCAACACCCACTTCAAACTTCCTTGGGCTACAATCTTCTCCACAAGACCGGTTAAGTTTGCCACCTTGAGATGGCTAATAGCCTTCAGAGCAGTCCCAATAAACCAATGGTTGGCCAACAGACGCAATCGCGAAAACAGAATGGACCAGGACTCCTGGTGCAAGGTATGCAGCCTCGATACCGCTGAATCCCTGAACAAGTATTTCATGGATTGCCCAAAGGCCAGATCTCTCTGGCAAGCTCTAGAATCATCATGGTATAAAATCTCAGACTCTCGCCTTCTAATCAACCCTGCCACACTATTCCTCGACCTCAAACAATCACCCCCGCTCAAAGGCTTCAAAGCCTTCCTCTCCTCCCAAATCAAGAAAAGCACCCTATGGGCCATTTGGAAAAACAGATGCGACAGGCTGAAAGCACCTTCGATGACCGACTCACCACCCCAGAGAACCCACTCATCATTATCAAACAACTAATAGACACCGAAATCCATGCCCTCTGGAAAAAAACAACTTACAAAGCTCCCCATTGACCCCGACAGAAAAATGAAATAATAAAAAAGTTATCAACCTCCAAACTAGGTAACGGGCTACTAGGCACAATCAACAATGACAAACTAACTCTAAGAAATTGGCTAATCATAACACATACACAAAGAGCCTCAACAGCTCCCCTATCCCACACACAATCACCCCCAAACCAGCCAGCGACCACTAATCCACTACTGAACCAGTAAAGACACCTCTCCCCCAACAATCCCAATCCTTCCATCCCCCCTCCCCCTCCCCCAAGCGAAAGTCTCCATACCCCCACTATCTCCACCTACCTCTCCTCCCCCCCCTCCTCCCCCCCGACACATCCTCCTTACATTACCCAGTACACCAAGCCTATCCAAAACCCCCTAAACCAGCCACCCCTTAAACCTCAACACCTGCCCTACCAAGAATACCTTCACCGAAATCCAAACAGACCCCTCTTCAAGCGATACCTAGAATTCAGACCAGCCCCAGCAACCACATCAGGCTATCATATGGAAATGACCGCCAGAGACCGGCTACAGACAAAGAAGCATTAAGCTAGGGTTTAGGGTTTTAGCACCAAATATAGGATAAGACCAGATTCCCAGTAGAACAGGCTAACTTAGGCAGGGGTGAAGGGTGGTACATCCTTCCTTCGGGAAGTAATCAATGTCATCCTTTCGGGCCTCCACACCACAAGGGGGAGGAGCGTGAGTATTCATTGTAATCCTTACCGACTTGTCGGTGGAATAGGAACCGGACTGATTCTCCCCAGCAATGGATGAGGAGCCGGAACCATAAGGTTCCGTTTTTTTCAAAAAAAAAGAAAAACAAAGAAAAAGGTTAAGGAAATAGTACCCAGAGAGA